ATTATAGTATCGATCTGAAAGGCAATCTCCATTTTTTTCTTGTGCGAGTTTACGCATATCCTCAATTGTTTGATAACAACTAATGCAAAATGGACACCATTGCTCTCTATTTTTAATGTGGTAAAGTGTGTTTGCTATTGATGGTTAAATTGGCAACGCCATGTAAGCAGTTCGTCAATGTTTTTATACTCAGTCGAAAGACATTCCCCTCCCCTAAATAGTGCAATTTGCTTTGCATTCTCAAGGGTTAGTTTTGCAATGCCCGCATAATATGAGCACCATGTACCAGAATTTTTAATATGTTTAAACGAACTATTTCAAATATGACCTTGATGGCATTTCCATGTCATCAGAGTTTTGGAATTACTATATGCAGTTGAAAGACACTTACCATTTCGGCTAAGTGCAATTTGCTTGGCGTCTTCAAGAGTAAGACGGGCATTTCCTGCGCAATATGAGCACCATTTACCATGATCTTTTACATTGCTAAGAGATGCATACCACAAATGACCTTTAATGCAACTCCATAGTAATGGCAATCGATTATTAATGTACTTTTCTGAAAGACATTGACCACTTTTTAATAGCGCAATTTGTTTAGCAATCTCAAGAGTAAGTTTTACTTTACCTGCACATTATGGACACTATTGTCCTAAATTTTTAATTCTAGAAAGTGGAGCACTCCATACATGGTTCTTAGAACAGCGTCACATTAATGGAGTTCTGTTATCTTTATATTCAGTTGAAAGACACATTCCATCACATTCTTTAGCAATTATACATGCATCATTTAATGATAGCTTTTTCATTGTTTTCTTGTCGTAGCTGAATCTCTTTTCGCAGATCTAATGGAGTATCGAATCTTAATCTAATTGCATGTGGATCATCTTCTGGCTTGTTTAAATTAAACACAATAAATTCTCCTTTGCAAAGGTATTTGCTAATAACTATTAAAGCATTTTTAACATCATCAGTATATTGCCAAAGGATTTTAGAAATCTCTTTACGTGAACTACCAGAGTTAAACATCACTAGATAGGAGATATTTTTACGAATAATAATAGGACTTTATGATAGCGTTGAGTTATGTAAATGGGTGAAATGTTTCTATGACACCCATGAGTAAAGAAGGGGATAATTTGATTTTGTATATACTCCAAGGCGATACACAAGTCCTCAAAAATGATAACAGTGCTCCTTTCTGGTGAGAATGATTTCACATTTGGAATCCTTTCAGGAGAAATATAGCTGAACCAAATATTTTCATAATATGGTGCTCTGGGATCCTTTGTAATTATTCCATACATATATTTGACGAATGCCCATTTCAGCTCGTTAGAATAGTAACCACAAACTATCAAATTATCACACCTAATATATCTGGATCCTCCCTTTTGTCTTTTGTATATATGCTCACTTTTATCTCTGAGAACAAGATTTGCAAGTATATTGGTCTTACCAGTACCACTCTTCCTAGAGACTAGCATACTGAAAGGCAAGTCGGGTGATGCTTCATGTCCTTTCGTTTGGGATGATGTATGTTTCGTGACCTCATCCATATCCATAAGGTAAAGTTTCATAGGGGTAGTCCTGTTTTTTGGTTCTTCTGCATTGTAAATTAGAACTTCGTAACTCTAATTTCTATTAAAAGGTGTTATATATTTCAGAAAAATTTCTTCCTTTTTATCAGAGTGAAAAAAACATCTATATATATACCATATAATTAGTATAATCACTAAAGCAAAAATCATGAGTTCAAATATAGGCAGAAGCATATACTGATTATCAACTAAAGCCTTACCAGCTCCTAATACAACAATGGGTAAGGCTGAGATACTATTATGTTTTTCTTTTGATTTTTGATCAACATAAAGATGGTCTCTTTAAGTCCCTATCTCATCTTTTACTTTTCTTTCATCAGGTTCAGATTCTAAGCAGTGTGAAGAAAAATGGGATACCTCTTCTACTGCTTCACCTCGCTTATAATCATTGGATGATGAAACTGGATCTGCTTCTGCATTACCTATTTTTGAATCATTAATTGACTGATGCAGTTGCGAAATGATCTGATCTAGTTCATCTTTCAGATTACTTACCCTAGACCTGAGACAGAAAATTAACCCATCCTTAAATGATGAATTTTGCGTAACTTTCTCCAATTCATTTTCCAATTCCTTTGCTTTAATCTCAAAAGAGGGATTGCTACACAACTGGTTAGTATCAGAATCCTTTAATAAAACTTTTTGCGCAATTTGTTCTAACTCAACCTCCAGTTCATTTATTTTTGTCTTAAGAGAGGCGATATCAGAATCCTTCAAAGATGAAGCTTTTTACATCGAAGATATTATGCTTTCCAGTGATTTAACCATAAACTTTAGCGATTCTATTTCTTTTAACTGCTTAGCATTAAGATCGGCATGAGACTTTCGTTCGCAAGTAATTTGGGAGATAAGCTTATTATTCAAACCATTTAGTTGATTAGCTAGGGGAGTAATTTGATTCATAGAATTTTGCATGCGTTCATTTTCTTCATGTGAGTGATCTAGATCATTTTGCATACACTTATTTTTTTCATCTAAGACATGATATTTAGTTAAAAGCTGTTTGGCAGATCTTATAAACTTTTTGCAATCTTTTTTTAGCTGTTCTTCAAGTTCTAATCGGCTCAGTGGATATCAATTGGATGAAAGGCTTCCAAGTTTACTGCCATCACCATTACCTATATCATTTAAGGTATGGATTCAAGGCATAATTTTTTATCCTCGTAAATATAGGTAAAAAAAAATATAATTTTTGAAATAATAACATTTATCCTAAGTATCCTAAGTATTCTAATTATTCTAATAAATTTTTTTGAAATAATATATTTATCATATTTATCCTAATAATTTATTTTCAAAATAATAGGGTTATCATATTTATTCTAAATATTAAAAGGAATACATTTATCCTATTTATCCCAAAGAATACATTTATTCTATTCAGTCTATTTAATATTTTTTGAATATTTTATCTAAAAAAATATCATCACACTATGGTTAGACAGCGTATGAATTGCAATACACCTCCATTTTCACCAACCGATTATGATTTTATTATACAACGTCATGATGAAAGACCTAGAAAAAAAGTTTTAAAAGAATTGATGGTCAAATATAATACATTAATGAAGCGCATATATCAGATTTGGAGAGGCGAAGAAGCTAATAGAATTGCCTGAAATCAACCAATAGCTGATATTTCTAATACTATTTATGCAGGTGGGTGTTTACCTGTAGTAAACTGCAACCCACCTCCTGCTATTTCCTCTCCACCTGCCTTACCACTGAAGAAAAATAGAAAGCAGGTAAAACAGCATCTACTGAGACGAAAATAGAGGTAGTTTCACAGCGCAGTGCTAATACCACAGATAATACTGATATTTTATCTAAAATAGGATCTGAACTTGAAGATATATTAAAACAAATAGATGATATTAAATAACTTACTTCTTTTCGGCAAGTATTTTTATAGCACTTATTGCTTTACCAAGCCACTCTTCAGCCTTTGCAAGATGCTCTTTAAGCTTCGCACAGTTTATGCACTTTTTTTTAAGTCCTCCTCACTAGTTGGATCAGAAGAGTTAGCGGATACCTGAGGTGATGATTTATGCTCCTCTTTTGTCAGATTTTTGACTACTGAAGCCTTGCTAAAGGTTGGGATAATATATGTTTTTCCATGATCCTCTATGCGAAACTGATTTTTAGTTGGATCAGAAATACCTTTGACTTTTCGAATTCCTGTCGCCCCCAACCATAGCATTGGCTTGGGTTCACCATTGTCAACACAAGCATAATTTCTAATAATAGTGATGATCGGGTTCCCTTTCATGTCCTTTAGAATGACCGCTACATTCGTATACCATCCTAGTGCTTCAGAGATATGTTCAGAATTACTTTTTACAGAGAATTTGGAAGGCTTATCAACTTTTCATCCAAGCGCTTCAGTAGTAGCTAAATTAAATCCATCAAATTCGCTTTCGTTATCTAAAAAAGATTCAGAGATTAGTAAATTATTTATACTAGCATTCAAGTATTGTAGTGACGAAAACCACTCATTTTTTTTGACTTATCCTCCTGAGTCTTTCGAGATAGACACATTTTTCGCATTGCTGGTGAAAGCTTTGGCAATAGCTCATCATATGTTTCAGGTTGGCTAGTTACTAGATCGGAAGAAGGGATAGCAAAATCACCATGTAAGCTTTTATTTACTAATGACTGTTTTTTTTTCTGATGCATAATACCACTCATTATCTGCTTTGTTATAATCATCCCATTATTTTCCTCACCATCTGAATCAGGAGAGACTATAGGTATAAGAGGCGTAAAATATGTCCGATTAAAATTAGATCGTGCTATCTGTCTTTTGAAACAACTTTCTTTGCCATAGCCTATTTCCCCACAAATTCCACATTTTTGTATATATGCTTTTTTCTGAAATAGATCAGCTAGCTGATTTACATTATTCTGAGTTTCTTTAAGATTTTCTTCAATCCTATCAAATCTAACAGAATTATTGTTTTGCTGTGAACGAGGTCTTTGAAAAGGTTTTACAGGATATTCTGAGTCTAAATCTTCCTTATTAAGTAGACCTACTTCTTTTAAGTATTCGGCTACATAATAATTCTTGAGACTTTCCTCTGACTTTGTAAAAGCTAGTGGACCTCTCGGTTGTCTAACTAGTTCAACAGATTGTGGGACAGATACTTGCGCTTATTGAGCCATTTGTGATTGTAATTCTGTAACTTTCTTTAATAATGCCTGGTTTTCAGTTTTTTGTTATGCCATTGCGTTTTGGATTGCTTTTTGCATATCTTCTAAAGATATTCCATGCTGTTGCGGAGCTGAAACTGGTGAAGATTCATATATTTGCTGAGATGCTCGTTGAGATATTAGCGAATCAGATATTCTATCCCTTTTATATCTAGCAATTTGACGTAATTCTATCTCATAAAGCTTTTTAGTTAATTCAGCCAATGGCAAATGTTCGCCAATATCCTCAGCTTTTTCAAGCCATGGAAGTGGTAGGGCATCTAAGAATTTCCTACGTAATTCTTCAGGCCTATAGTTAGCTCGTCTACCTATTCAAACTATTTTTCTATACAATTTATCTATAGTCATGTCTCCCTTCGTGATTGTTCCATACATCATATCCCGAAGCTCCTCTTCCACTGTAGGGAAATAAGTTTTTAGCCACCATATAGCTTGACCAAATCAAATACCAGCTACAATTACTGTATTTTCAGCATTAGTATTTGGTGCATTTACAGAAGTATTAGTAGGACAGCCACCTGCTATACGCCAGTCTTCATTCCAAGCATCTTTTATAGCTCTTAACTTGACTATTGCATTTTCTGATTGGCCAACAGCCTCATTTAATGCATTAACTCCTATCTGTACTGCAGTTCGCCCATTTACTGCAACTAAGTTGGCCTGCCCTGTATTATTGAATAAGTTAGTTAACTCCCAATTCTGTTTTGTAATAATCTCATCATCAAACCATTCTAAAGTCCTTCCTCTCATACAGCCTCTTAAATGCCTTATTGCATTATCTCTTCCTGTTGGAGGACCTGCTACATTATCATTTGGATCTATTTCCCGATTATGCAAGTCTAGTCTAAGTTGCGCAAGAAAGTTTGGGATACTATCATCCCAGTCAAAATATGGATGAGGTATTCCTGCCATATTTATTTGATTTAGTGTAATGCTAAAATATGTCCCTGCAAAATTAAAATATTCTGCCAAGTATCATGGGTCTTATTTTTCCATTTCTCATATCGCTTATAGAGCCTGTCTCAATTATACTCTAATAAACCTATATCCCTCTACTTCGCTGTAAGTGATGAGCATTTCGCTGATATAGTAGTTGTAAGGCAAACTTTCTTGTACCAGTTCACCTATACGGGTTTGCTTTCTTCCTATATTACCTATCATTCTATTTACCTGGTTTTGAGCATTAGTTTGATATTGATGAAGATCAGCAATAGCCCTTTGTTCTACCCCTTCAGCAAGTTGCCTTCGTATAATTTCATTATCACGCTCAGCTTCTGCATCATATCGTCTTCTCTGCTCCTAAACTATATCCTGATGCAGATTATTTTCTTTTTAACGAATTTGCCTTGTAGCTCTTTTTATTTGGTCTATAAGAATATTCCTAATTGTTGCTCTATTATCCATATAACCCTCTATAGCATTTACTAGCTCTGTGATTGTAGCCATATTATTATCAGAATTATACAAGTCTAAAGAATTCTCTCGTTCAGGCGAATTTTTTCGTGATGAGATGATTCTGATCTAGCATCGCAATTTTTCAACTTGCTTCTCAGATTCTACTAACCGCTCTTCTAAACTAGAAATATATTTTCTCTTATCCTGCACATCTTTCTTAGCTTGATATAGCTGACTTTTTAGGGTAGAGATTTCAGATTTTAACTCTACTATCTCCTCTTCTGAAGCATTTTCAAGGCACTCTATCTCCCTATTGAGATCTTGAATTTCTTGCTCACACCGGGAATAATCTCACTCTAGTTGATTAATTCGTCTCTTATTCTGACGATTAGTATCAACTTCTGTCTGTAATTCACTACGAAGATGATAGTTCTCCTCCTCCAGCTCAGCTTTATATTCTTCACATATTCTTTTCTGCCTTGGATGAGGCCTCTGAAATGACATTCTTTTTTCGTAATTATAAAAGAGAATGGGTGAACCTTTGATTTATATAGATCCTTAAAAAGCATGTGATCTTGACCAGGATTTTACTTTACAGAAGTACAAGGAAAAAAGTACCCCTAACTAATGAGAAGAATTTTTCCTCAAAACTATTCCCTATGCTTTCACTGTTACTTCTCTATTCGGAACTTTCAGAAGATGATTCCAGTTATCCAGACTTGTTTTTTCAGAATATAATGTTAACACCTCATTAAGTAGGATTCTGGATTCTTGGATATTATCGCAAATCAAATAATATTTTTTACTACCTTCGCTATCGATCAACCAGTGGCCTTTCAGATAGCAATGATCTTTTTTGCATATAGGGCAGATTTGCATATCATGGATGAGGTAGCAATCTACTTGGTTAAGACATTTTCTATCTATACTGACATGAAGGTCTAGACATGAGGTAGTTCTTTTGAATCGATTTATCACTAAATTAATAACCTTATCACGCTTCCATTTTGGTAACTTCTTCTGGAGTGGAATGAGCTAATCACTTTGTGAAGCAGGTGAATTCTTTGAATTGATTCCAGAGGAATTATCTGGAGAATTAGAGACATAAAATGAAAAAATAGGTGAGGTTGAAATGCTTACCTCAGAAGATTCAGCCAGTAGATCACGTAAGTGTGAAGAATTCTTCACGTCGATCACTTTTTGACATTCTGCAGTGTAAAGGTTTATTATATTTTAAATTTATGCACCCGTTAAACTTCCAATAGCATTAACACTGTATGTAACTAACCTGATTTTGTCTATTCCTACTTCTTTAAACAGTGTATAAATATTTTTAGCTTTTTGAGTCATTTTGCATAAATTCTTTCTCTTCTTACCTGAAAGATAGAGCTCCATTTCATCATAAATCTGCGTTCTTGCCATTTGATCACTAATATTGCTTCCCAAAGCAATAGTTATGGCCTTTTTTTCGAATTCCTCACTATAGTAATACCAACGTAACTTTTCTTTCTGACCAGTTTTTTTGGCTTTATCAAATAAGTGAGCTAAATGAGGTATAGAACCCGGAGCTAGATCAGAATCGACTGGAATTTGTTTACTAGATGCAGTAGAATTCGGTAAGGATTCATAGCTTCTAATGAATTCAAGTAATTTGCATACTAAACCTTTTTCTACTTTTTGTTTATAGGGAACTTTCCCGTCCTTACTATATTCAAAGCCAGATGAAGCAACACATGATTCGGATGATAGACTGGCAAGATAAACATCTTATCCATCTTTTTCGTTCAAGAGAATGACAGAATCCTGAGAATTGATACCAGAGATATCAGCTATGAATGGTTCTGAATCCAAATTCTTCTCCTGGGAATCACCTTCTTGAAGCTTTTTCTCCCGCTTTCTTTGTCTTATTTCCTTACTAATCCTTTTCTTATGATCTTCATCTAAGAAAGTATCTATCTCTCTGTCCTCTAACGACCCCACTTGATCTGGTAGCAAAACTACCTCTTCGATCTGTGGGGTGAGAGTCAAACCATTCTGATTGCACAGCCCTGGATCTCATACCTCTGATAAATTTAACTGACTATAAACTTCGTGAATAGGCGGGGGCTTAGCTATAACTGAGTCAGGTATATTGACAGATTCTTCGAGAATAAAATCATCTATTACCTTATCTGATACCGATTGTTCTGCAATTACCTCAAGTACCTCTTCTATTGACTTGGTGTTAACATCATTTTGCTGGTCTATTATGGAGTCAGATTCATCAACAGCTGATATTTCTGCTATCGTTTCCCTATCCTTCTGTGACTGCCCATCCACTACCGAGGATTCCTGTTCTAACATCAAGAATCTGACCTCAAGTTCCGTATTTTTTAGTTCTAATTCCTCGACTCTAGCATCACGCTTAGCATTCTCATCCATAACCTGCTTTAGAAGCTCGACATTCCTAGCCTCAATCTCAGCTTTCTCAGTCTCAAGCTTGGCGTTCTTAGTCTCAAGCTCGCTAATACGTTGTCTCAATAATTCAAGCTCTAATGTCATGATCTATAAAACTATACACTGTACATAAGCATTCAAAATAAAAAAATCACATGAGCGTAAAGATTCTTCACGCTGATCACTTTTGCCAAGAAATTATTATTCTCATATAAAAAAACATGAATGTATATTTGCGAAATCGATCACCAGGGTCCCTTTATTGATACAGCAAAAATAAAAATACATGATAAATTACAAAAAAAAAGAAACTCTAATCATCTCGCATTGGAGTAGAAACTGTAGTACTATCTTCTTTTTGTCTTTCTGATATGGAAATGGATGTGTGATATAGTAGGGACAAATTTGTAATTAATATGTTTCGTAAAAGTAAAAAGGTTTTCACAAATTTAGTTACAACACTCACATCTGACAATTGCACAGGAATTTCAGCTGATTGTAAATGAAAATACCTATAAATGTTCGCTTTATCTCTAATAAGTACATTCAGATATAACATATTCTCAGCTACTTGCACTCCAACTATTCTAAATTGATCTTTCTCTAGTTTAAGGACTTTGCGAACCCAGAACATTCCATCGTTACTTTCTCTCCATAGCTTTATCTCATTATCTATCTTTTTCTGTTGACTACAGTATAATCATAAACATTCAACATACATAAGCTTAAAGAAAACATCTAAATATTTTACCACATACATAATATCTGGTCGTCTTCCCACCTGCCTTTCACCTTTTCTATCCGCACTAGTTATATTCTGTCGTTCTGAAATACTGATAAATGAGGATAGTCTAAAAGGAAGATTTTTTAATATTGCTTGAATAGACAATAGAATAACCGTTGATTGATAGGTTCCTTCATTTAGTGATTTCGCAAGTTCAGAATTAAAAGCTGGGTTAATCCAAATATCTTCCAGAAGAATTAAAACTTCTTTTATAACATCCACAATTTTTTCTTCCGATTCTTTTCAGGTCCTATCGTGAATTAGTTTATCCAGTATTGTATTCTGAATATTACGATCGACAAAACTTGTTATGAAATTTTCACACATCTCTTTAACTATCGTCATAGGAGCAGGTGCCATTTGCCGAGCAGGTTTCTAATATAAAATATATGTTATATTTATTCTCAAAGAACCTTCAACGAATTTATGGTTACCTACTTTAAATGCCTTTTTTAGATTTGATGACAACTGCTTGACAACTGTTGATTGATCGCTAATAACTCAGCTGACCAAAGGATCCTTTCAGGTTAAGCTTTGAATAGATATAACATTTACTTTGGAATATAATTGTTGATAGAGGAACGAAGTGTCTTTTCTAAGCTTTTCTTTCAGATCATTTATATTATCTTCAATCTGATCTGAGCCAAAAGGAATTTCCTTATTCATTTTAATTGTCCCTATATCGTATAAGCTACAAACACCTTCAAAACTAATGTCAAACTAAAAAAAGTATTGTGTTAGATTTCAGAAATAAAAAAGAAGTTCTCATCATAAAAATAACACAATCATCAGTGC